CACAGTCGAAAGCCGCCACCAGCTCAACAGCGCCTTCATGCACACCCGCAGTATCATCTGTATAGAACGTACATCAGTTACATCACCAGAACCAGCATAATGATCCTCCGTCATCAGTACCATCATCAGATGACCGTTGCCACCGCATGAGCCACATCTCGAACAACATCTAGAATCCAGATAGTTCGAATCATTCAACATCATCACTCATGGCTATCGGCACCCACACCATCTACATCATCACCGACATCACTTGTTGCACATCGTAGCTATCGCCGCCATCTTCTTCGCAGTCCCCACGGTTATGGTGATGCGTATCGGATTGCGGTGGTGGCGGCTCTACTTCACTACGAAGGACGACATCCCCTGCCTCAGCAGTGGCGGACATTGGCATCCCCTGGAAGGCGGAGAGGCTTCGGTCTCTGGGATCTGAGAGCGAAGTTCGCCCAAGTGCCCTCCGAGCCCCCGGGAACTGCAATCCTGGTAAAGAATGAAACCGAGGCATCATGAGCGATCTTCGTAGCGGTCTCTACGACTACCTGTCAGAGTATCGAGGCAAGAGGCTCAGTCCTTTGATCTCTTTATAAGTCTGGAAGGCAACAAGCTCAAAGACCCGACTCATCCCAGCACAAGGCCGCACTGACACCTCAAGGTTCAGCTCTTAGCTGCATTTTAGAGCTTGAGCGTGAGGGGCTTAGGGTTAGGGAGTTCAGAGTTTCAACTTCCAACTGCACCCGAGACTTTGTAGGCCCTCAGCTGCAAAGCCTCAGCCCCGCCTGAACCCTCAACCCTTACACCTCCCAAACTCATGAAGGCCCCTACTGTAACCTTGTAAAGCCCCTGAACTACTGTAGCACTGATAAGAAAACCTCATAGCCAAACTACAAAAACCCTGCGCAAATCCTTGCATTTGCTATAGCACTGCCCTCAGAGCAATAGGTGCAGGCCTGTGGAGGCCAGGGGTAGAACGACGCCTGTCGGATGCTGCACTGGTCTTGGGGGCCTTGGGTGAACCCTCGAGTCTAACCCTCAGCACCAACACAACCTCTACCCTGAATCCCGATGGTTCGTCCCTATAACCTCTCAACGACTTGCTAGGATCACAAGTCTACAATCCCTTTGTGGAGCCATCGTGAGCAGTCGGCCTACCTCGAACGTGCCAGCGCACGGGGTTGAACATAAGGACCCGGATCGGTTTGGGGGGCAAACTTTTGTGTGGTTATACGGGGACTACAGGCAACTACGACTAAGTGCTCAAACCTCCATATCAAGCTTTTTCGCTTTAGAGTTTGGGACGTACAGGGCACAGGGCTTCAACGGTCCAGAACCATTTTTTGACCCGCTCCCACACGTAGGAGTCTAATCTAACGGTCCGACAAGATAGTAGCAGTATATACGATTACAGAATGATATACTCCCCTAATCTAGTTGTTAAGTCATCGAGAAACGGAAAAAGTCAAGCGGAGGATGCGTGTACCAAACTTGCCTTGGGAACTAGCTTAGGGTTGCCGGGTATCGTATGGCGAAAGTATGAAGGCACTACAGGGTGACTTCATTGAGGAAGATACATTACACCACAATGACAATCATGAGCCCCCTATGGTTGAAGGTATCCTTTTTTCCCACTACACCGAAACGCATAGTGATGCTCGTCATGTAGACCTCTCTGCTCGACTCTTCCCCTCCCCTTCGGTCCTGTTGCTGCTGTGGCTGCTGTGGTGCCTGCTGCCAATCTACACCGCCTTGCGGAAACTGCATGACGTACCTGAGTCAGCTGCAGGGGGGAGAGAGCTTCCGGGTTACGGCATCGCGGTTTGTTTTGGGGTTGCGCACGGTGGTAGGCAGCGTTTGCTTTTTGAGCCTTGAATGTTCAGCGAGGCATTGAGGACAACATATGCAGATCATACTGACTTAGATCTCCGAGTTTGGGTAGCTTACGTGGCATCCTCGAAGGGGCCTCTCAGTTCCAGAACATCCACCCCAAGCATACACTGAAAACTGCAATGTCGTAGCAGAGTGCCTGAGCCTTTAAGTTTGCTCCGGAGTTCAGTGGAGGCTTCGGAACACAGGGGACCCCAATACAGGGCCAAAGTAGTATGCGGGCTGTTCAGAAACACGCCTGGCCTTCAGACGTGGACCAAGGATTCAGTTGAGTACCACCCGAGAAGCAGGCACCAGCGACACAACCCAGAAACCCCTGAACACTAAACCCCGAACCCCTCCCCAGATTCCCAGGGCCGCACCCAGGGCCCGTGGCAAGACGCTGCTGCGGCTGCTGTGGCCGAGGCTGCTGCATCTGCCTTTACAGTGCTGCCGGAGCCTTAAACCCTGAACTCAACCCAGCCTTTAAGATGCATGATAAATTCTGCTCAGGCTTGGGCTACAGATTTTCTGCAGCTCTGATCCCTAACACTTGTGAAGTCACGCCCAGACTAAGACTTGCAGCAGCCCCTTCCGGAAAGGAGTTCATCTCAGGTGCTCGAACTGTTACAGTGTTACAGATCGACTGAGGCTTTTGCAGAGACTTTAGCGACAAATGTCGACATCGAATCCTACGGAGACGGCGCGGCGGCGTCAACCAAGTTTGTCTGCGACCTTCTTCCTTCGAATACCCTGCGAATCGTTGGGTGTACACTTGCGTCTCTCGGCAAAACGACATACTGAAACCAGAGATACATGAGTTGAATCTATAGCTGAGATGTCCTTGATGGCAGCACATTCCCTCGCCAAACTTGCAGAGTATTTTACGTGGCGTAGCTTGATCAAGCGAAACGAGATGTACCTAGAGAGTGCAGTGGAGGGACCTCGTGCTCTCGGCTAGCCTTGTTTCTCTTCCATCGACATCAGCATCATCATCCACAGCATCATCAGCATCGCCATAGTCAACATGGCCAGAACCGCAGCTAGCATTGCCAGAACACCGCCGAGACCACCACCACCACCACCACCACCACCACCACCACCACCACCACCACCACCACCACCACCACCACCACCACCACCACCACCACCACCACCACCACCACCACCACCACCACCACCACCACCACCACCACCACCACCGCAACCACCATCACCGCCGCCACCACCGACCACCACCACCACCAACACCAACACCACCGCCGCCGCCACCACCCACCACCAGCAGCATCATCAACAACCAGTATATATGACCGTTATCATTATCACCATCTCAAACACCATGTGACCAGCAAAGTTTGTCAACGTCAACAACATCATCACTGTCATTGTCGCCCCCACTCTGACCAACCACATCTCCACCACTACTGCACCAATTCATAGAAAAGATAACCTGCGAAACAACGCATCTCATGTTTCTTCAGTGTCGTCTAAACACCACCCGATTTCTGAAACTCATATTTTGGCAGAACTGTTGGTTGGAATGGGTTGCTTGGGAGACTGCAGAGTTTCCCTCTGGCTTTGAAAGGACCTTCACAGGTTTCTACAAGGCTACAAGACGGCTTCACAAGGCTTTCTGTTGCTTTGAAGGGCTTGTTATAGGGGTTCTATGATGGAGTTAAAGAAGGCTTCTTGGGGCTTCTCTCGGGGTTCTAAGAGAAGGCTTCTTTGGGGCTGTTTCAGGTCGCATCTGAAAATTCCAGGACTTAATTACATGCTAAACCTTTGACTTAAGCATAAGGATTCTAAGTCTGCAGCCGCCAGTATCCACGGGCCCCCAATGCCTAGAGCTAGATTCCGAGCCCCAGCGCGCAGGCTCCAAATTCTAAACCCTTCAATGCCTGGATCTGCGGACTAAATGCCTGAACACGCACCCTAAAGCCAAAGCTCATCGTTGACGAACCGAGATACTGCATAGGTGGCATGTTCTGCATTGGCTGCTGTGGCACATTCTGCGTGACAACCTGCACACGCTGTGAACTGTGTAGGTCGTCTGCCCTTTGGGACCGATGATGGTGAGAAGGAAGGCGATGAGGATGCGATGGTTCTCATATTGCAACGGAGATGAAAAAGTATGACTGGCTTCAGGGAGTTACAGCAATCACAACTCAACTACAGCAATGAGGAATACAGGGCACCACTCCAAATTGATAGTCTTTCAGCTTTGTTCTGGGGCCTGTGCTGCTGAAGCTTTCTGTTGCCACGATTTGTGGAGGAATCGGGGCCAAACCCTGAAACAGAACGTGTTCATGACTTGCGGGATGTTTGCACTGAGATCCCTTTTTTACGGGCACGGGGTCCTCACCCTGGTAAGCCCCCCATGACTGTCGGCGCCTAGGTTTTGAAGACTGAACGGGACTGCTTGAGGTTGAACCTCTAAAGTTCGGGCTTAGGGTCTATACAGCTTTTCAACCAACGTACTTCTGGTGCCGCCAATCCTATACACAAGAGAACTTAAGCCTCGCGGGTTGGGGATTTAAGGCTCTTTGCTTGGATACTTCCACTTTCGTCTGGCCATGTTGTCCAGCGTGGAAATCCTGAAACACTGTAAGAGCCTGATCCCAGAATGCCAAAGCTGAAGCCCAAAGCCCTAAACCTTGAAAGAGTTAGCATAGGCCTTGCCCTTCGGCTAAGATGGTCCCAAAACCCATACCCCCCCCTACACTTTTACACCTATATTAAATAAGCCTAATCAAATAGGGGTTTTCAAAGACTATATTTGGAAATAGGGATATCCAAAAGACTATATTTTGGATATAGGGATATCCAAAAGACCATCTTCCCAAAGGGCGAGGTTAGGTTGATAGAATTTATGGTAAATTTAGGGGATTGCGGGGCAATGCTTCGCGTTTCGGGGCTTGAAAGCTGAATTCCGTCCGGCATTGGCTGGGACATTACACCATCGGCAAGGAGATTGAGAAGGTGTGCCCAGCATGTTTTTTTTCTGTCAGGGTCTGCAGAGACTTGAGCAAGTGAGTGCATCAGTTGAGGCAAAGCATGAGCAGACTTGTTTCATTACAGCCCCTTTGTCTCTGACAGCAATTCGCATACAGCCCTCACTCTCTGCATCCTGAGCAAAGATGTCCAGTCTCATCTTCGTGAAGTCTGGGAATACCTACCGTGCCGTGCTCGTGCGGAGCGGGATGGTCTTGGACATGAGCAGTCCCCAATGCTTGGACCGCATTGATGTTACCGACAACCGTTCAGAGTTGGGGCGATGCCTAGCCAGTATGACCAACTCCTCGCTCACGGAGTTGCATCGTGCGCTGGGCTGGAATGAATTGCCTTTCAGGCCCAAGAAAGCCCAGCTGGTGACGGCAGTCCTTGACAACTGGGATGACATGAAGACCACTGCTAGGGTGATAGGCGAGGCTGTTGAAGGAGCCCGTGCACCCTCTCCTTTGGCTTCGGATGTTGAGCCCCAGCTTTTGGACACTGACGAGAGCGACGACGAGTGGGCAAAGTGCACTGCCGATGACTTGCAGAAGCCGATTGAGGACGAGGACGTGCTGAACCACGAGGAGAAGTTCCCTGATGGAGCTGACGTTAAGGTGGTCCGCTTGTTGAAGAACTATGGTGAGAAGCGCGGTGTGTGCTTGAAGATGGACTTTGAGACCAGCACGGTTGATGACTTCATGAACCAGATGGAAGAGTATGGCGTGATTGACTATGCAGAGGACTACATGGTGCTCTATGGTGGCAGACCTGCCCATGGGGGTTGTCGTTTGGGCTCCTTGATTGACGACGGTGCCAATTCTGTCACCTTTGTCCTACAGGTGGCCAAGTTGAGGGGCGGTGGAAAGCCCAAGCCCGTGAAGAAGGACAGCGCGATGGTTGAGCGCATGGTGGCGAAGATGAAGAAGCACCCGACCCCCTTGGACGATGCCGAGATTTGCTCCCTCTCCACCGCCTTGAACGAGCTGACGGACAAGCGCCACAGGCAGATTGACATCCCTACCTTGTTGAAGGCATCCTCGGTGAGCAAGTTGCGCGAGTTGCAGAAACTCGTTGACAGGAACAACGGCGGGGCAATGGCACAGACTCGCACAGAAGCAATTGCCTACCACATGCTTGAGTGTATGCCCACCCTCTACGAGAACATGGAGACGGTGAGCAACTGCTACAACTACATGCTAGAGCAGTTCTCGGTTGCCTACGCTGCGCGCTACAACAAGGTGTATGGCTCGGATGTGCGGATTGACCACGGTGCCTTCTACATGGAGGTCACAGACATCATTGGTGAGTTGCAGGATGCTGAGACGAAGCGCCTTCGTGATGAGGTGGCAAAGTTTCAGCAGGGCTCGGGCTCGGGCTATGGTGTTCAGATGGACACAAGCGGGTGAGCGATTTGTTTATCCACAGGCGTTGCTGAGAACCATGCTGTGCAGATTTGCGTGGTTGAGCTGTCTTGCATTACCTTGCTTCCGAAGCACAGACCAGATGCACACCACTTGCAAAACAGTGTGTTCATGTAGTGCCGGTGCTGTTCTCACCACCCCCCCAAAATCCCGAACACCGTGCCCCCAAAATCCCGAACACCGTGCTCCCAAAATCCCGAACACCTTCCCCAAAAGGCAAAAATGCCTCAAAACCCCGAGAACAGAGAGACCCAGAACAGAAGAACAGAGAGACCCCGAACAGAAGAACACCCTGAATACGAACACGGCAGGTGCTCACGACCATCAAGCGCAACGACTCAGACAACTTCAGGAAGGCTCATCTCTTTTAGGGTTGTAGGGGTTAGGGTTGTAGGGTTTGTTCCCTCTTCGGGAAAAGGATTGGCTCTGAGAGCCAAACAACCATCTCAGAACTGGAGCGCCGTGCAGTGAGACTTTTAGGTTGGGGATGTTAGGGTTGTTAGGGGGGTTTAGGGTTTTTAGGGTTATAAAACCTTAAGCCCTAAACCCCTAAACCCTAAACTAGGCTTGACTCCTCTTCGGGAAAAGGATTGGCTCTGGGAGCCAAAACAACCATTAGGGTTATAGGGCTTTAGTTTTTGGGTTGTAGGGGTTTATTGGCTACCGCCATTCCGCTGACCCAACAAGAGCAAACAAGTAAAAATAATAAATAAAAATAATAAATAAAAATAATAAAAAAAAAATAAATAAAAAATAAATAAATAAAAATAATTCATACAATAATTTTTACATATTATTGTATTAATTATCAGTTTAATAAATCAAAGTTTGGTTTATTAAAGTACTCTCTTATAACCTTATTAAAATCCCTTACTGTAGTATCAAAATTAAGTTTTAATCTATACTCAATGAACTCCCTGATTTCTTTATTATCGTTACAGTCCATTCTTTCCTTAAATAGCCTTACAAGCTTTTTATATCTTCTTTCGGTTATGTTTTTTATATGCATCTTAACCGTTTCATAACTAGGAAACTGGCGCTCCAACCTCAACAGCAAGTTATCAACATTATATAAACACAAATCATTTGTTTCAAGTCGTTCATCTAATACTTCCTCAATGTATTTTGCCCTTTCGCACTTGGTGCACTTGTAAGCAAAACCATAGATGTTATTAATAATATTTTCTGGTAATGGCATCTCGTTTAAAACACAATAGCGCTCGTGCTTTCTACAATCCTTGCATTTGCATCTCTCTCGCTTTTCCCTACTTTCCCTAAGGTAGTCGTTAACCTTTATAACATCCAGAAACTGATTAATAATTTCATCCTGTTCCTTCACAGTGAATCTTACCATTTTACTCTTATTATATATAGTCGTTATTTCTTTAAATACTTTCTTCCTTGAATGGTTTCTAAACCTTTAATAACTCAAAACGTAAATAACCTCTGGTCATACCCTCCACATAATAATATTTTTGCCCTAATTTCTCTTCTATTTTTTCAACTGTATAAACATTCTTAGACCAATTGCCGACCCTTTCTTTTTCGTTGGGCTTTCTCTTCCTAAATATTTTAACCTCATCCCCCTTATCCAAGTCGGTGGTGACACGCGTCCAAGCGGGCACTAAGGCGAGGGATATCATGCAGCCTGAAAAGCATGGGTGTATTGTCGTTGCCATGCCGCGGCCTTGCAATGTCGGACCTTGGATGTGCGCCACGTGCGGAAAAACATGCTGCACAAAAGCTGCTCTTGCGGCGCACAAAGCAAATCAGCATGGAATCCGTGCTTTGAGGGCACATGTTGGTGGCACTGCCTGTTTGAAATGCAACACTGAATTCTGGTCAAATGCGCGACTGAAACGGCATGTCAATGCTGCAGGACTATGTAGTGCTGCATACGAACACGCTGACCTTTGTGCGGCACAAGATTTTGAGTGCAAGGGGCGTGAAAGTGTGCGTGCGTGGCGACCACCATGTAGAACTGCGGGCGCTCAGCCGTTCTGGGCGGCTGTCAGTCCGCGTGAATACATACAAGTCGTTGACGTGGGCCATGTCGTTGAGTCCGAACTTGACTAGAGCGCCCTTGATCACATGTGGTTGCAGTAGTTGATGCAAGAGCCTACCCAAGCTTGTGATTCCGGACGGATAAATAAGATCCTTCTATGGGCCCGGGTTCATGGTCGCAGTAATGAGGGTGTTGTTGGCCAAGGTGATCGTGACAAGCTTGATATTGTCAATGCCTGCATTGCCATCGCCAGATGCAATTTCGATTTGCAGGGGGTCTGGGTGATTCACGGGAGGTGGCATGTCAGTACTTCTGACAGTTTTGTTGCCTTTTACAAGGAACCTTGAGGCCCTGAAACCCTGTCGGATATGTGCAAGTAGAATTTAAGAGCGAGTCCAGAGGACACATGCCACAATCAGAAAGAAAGAAATCACGTGCATGCAAGGACCGTCAGCGATGTCCTGCTGATACCCCACTAACCCAAGCAATCCAATTGCAATTGAAAGAGCAAGTTCCCGCATGAAATTCTGCGCGAGCGTTAAGTGGCATGCTTCAGAATACAGAGCAACCGCTGTCATGCTAGATGTGGGTATCATCGATCCGGCTGCTTTTGCCTGAACACCCTCGCCTTTGTGTTCAGGTTGCTTTGCCTGTTTTCTCTCACTTCAACCACAACATCCCAGATCTTCTGCGGTGAGGTCAGCTCCGCTCCGTACATCCTCAACATGAGCCCCGCCAAACCAAAATCTGTGCCCGAAACCACGTAGATGCGTAAGAGTGCCAATTTTGCCCCACAAAGGGCATTTAGGCACAATTCCGCCAAATACTGCGCCTGCTGGTATCAGGTACATAAAGACGAGTGGCTTACTTTTGCCGCTCGAAAAGGGCCACTTGCACATACTTGCACCCAAGTCCACGGGACACCGCGCCCGCTAAAGTTTCAGGCTGGTTAGGGTTCAAGACTTGGGGTTGTGTAGGGTTTTGGGTTGGAAGCTCTTTACATAAGGTTTACAGGCTTTTGAGGATACACGCGCATCAGAAGGCAAGCACGTGTTCCTGAGGGTTCGGGCTTATTTAAATGCGCGCATCTCAATGGGCTTGTATCTGCTGCGCCATCACTCTGAGCCCAATGGGCTTGTTTAGGGTTTGTGTAGGGTTGACTTTTCGGTTTTTTTCGTTCCTTTTCGGATTTTTCGGATTTTCGACTTTTCGTGCTAAATTACATTAAAAAAAAAACTGTTTGGCTGTTCGTCTTTTCGGGCACTTTTTGCATTTCTCCGCCTAAATCCGTCCACCGCGCAACCACAGCATTCCTAAACCTTATTCCTATTATAGATAACTTATTTAAGAAGACCATTTCCATTTTCTAGGGTTAGGGATTTCGGGTTGGGGAATCTGGTTTTCTCTGGGGGTGCGCGTCTATGGGGTTGAGGTTGTGATTTTTCTATGTGGTGGTGTATTGTTCTTCTGGTGGTTCCATCTTGTGGGTATTGGGGTTGGGTTTTTTTGGTGGGTTGGGGGTTGAGGCATAGGTTGTCATGGTTTGGGTGCCAGGGGGTGGGGCATGGTTAGAAAATGGAGATGAAAAAAAACATTATACCTATTGTAGATAAAAATACTTAAGAGTACTATTTCCATTTTCTAGGGTTAGGGATTTCGGGTTTGGTATTATGGGTTTTCTATGCGGTGGGTCATACTATGGAGTTAAATATGCTATTTTCTATGTGGGTTGTTTTGATGTAGGTACCATTTTAGGGATATTTCTGTGGGTATTTTGGTGAGTTGGGGAGTGAGGCATAGGTTGTTCTGGTTTGGGTGCTAGGGCGATGTGCATGGTTAGAAAACGGAAATGGTCAATGCTAGCTTATAGCTCCACTACGTCCACCAGTTCTGCACATCAAGACAACGTTGGAGCAGCTTGAGTGCAAGGATGATGTGCTTCTGTCCTCGCCGGTCCTACTTGGAAAGATTGCCCCGGAGCTGCATCATGTTTGCTCATCATTGACAACCTCCAGACTCCAGAACGATCAAAGAACTTGGTCCTCAGCTGGCCAGCCACGATCAGATCCTGCGGCAAGACACAGGCGAACCGCAGCACGTCAGAGCGAAACAGTCAAGATCTTCAACAGCTGGCGTCTTTTTCACCTGCCGTTAGGCGGCGTCTCAAAAATGCTCAGGGCACATGCCCTGGCCGCCGATGAGGAATGCCTCAGCGCGATCTGGAGCGGCTCCTGCAAACACAAACGTTGTCGTTCAACGCACAGCACATTGCAGAACAATGTGCGCCCTAGGCCCGTAGGCCTCCTTTCATCGCGCTGACCGGAGGTATGCCCCAGCGGCTCGGGCAGCGGCTCGTAGGTGACCAGGATGTCGTTCGGGTAGACAACGCTGTACTCTTCGCCGTTTTTCAGGATGAAACATGGCCACCTGAATGTTTGGGCCTGTTTGGGCTGGTCATGGGCTGCCCCCCTGGCTCCCCCTACCGGGCCCTACCGCATTGCCCTACAATTACAAACAGGTAGGCGCAGCCTGAACCAGACAAGGGTTGCAAGGTTAAACGTTCTACAGTTCTACATCTTGAATAATGCAGTAGAACTCCTTGAGGACGAGCAGGGACGGCACGGTTCGAGATGCGTCTGCTCATAGGAATGTGATGGGGCACCATGTACGACAGCTGGTACTTCTGTGCCCAAGCCTTTGTTGGGCCTGGCATGTATGAGAATGCCAAGAAACCAGCCGAAAGCGCTAGCTTACAACACCTCCCGCAACCCATGAGATGGGGCATGATCACCGTTTTTCACTAGGTGGAAAGCAACTAGAGCATAAATCTCATCATCAACAGTCTAGCACAAGTTGCCTGGCCGCCATGTCGGGGAAGTCTCCCCAGGAAGCAGGAGCTTCCAGAAGGAAGCTCCCGTGCTCTTCATGAACAAAAGCCTTACGGTCAGTTGCACATGTTGGACTGCTACATAAACATGCC